TCCAGTAAAAAAAATTTACAAAATCAAATATCGTCATAAATGTAGGCCAAAATGTATTCTGCTTCGTGCCTTTGCTAACAAAAAAAAAAAAATAACTTCCAATACATGTAAAATAATTGGTTTACGTGAAAGCTATAGCATCTACAAATGGCGGTGTATGTATATATATATATATATATACTGGAATTTTCTTTTTTACTAGTAATGGCAGCAATCTGCGACTTATAGAGGAACTGCGGCGGGCATTCTGACACTGGTGGGAACTAACTTGGTGTCACTGACATCCCCAGTGACACCAATGCAGTGATCAGTACTAATAAAAAGCACTGACACTGTACTAATGACACTGGGCAGGAAGGGCTTAACATCTGGGGCATTCAAAGGGTTAACTGTGTGCTGAGAGTGTTTTATTAGGGGGCAGTGTCTGTGTGCTTCACTGTAATCACACTGATCAGGATGGCTGTGCTATGCACAACCATCCCGGACAGTGTGCTTGGACTGCGGTGGGCATTCTGACACTGGGGGGGCACTGACTTGGGGTCACTGATATCCCCAATGACTCCAATAATAAAAAGCACTGACACTGTACTAATAGCACTGGGCAGGAAGGGGTTAACATGAGGGCAATCAAAGGGTTAACTGTGTGCTTTACAGTGTAAGCATGCTATGCAGAACCATACAAAGCAGTGTGCTGGAGCTGACAGTGCTAATAAAGAGCACTGACACTGTACTAATGGCTAATAGCACTGAGCAGGAAGGAGTTACCATCTGGAGCAATCAAAGGGTTAACTGTGCACTGGGAGTATTTTACTAGGGGTCGGTGTCTGTGTGCATCACTGTAATCACACTGATCGGGATGGCTGTGCTATGCACAGCCATCTCGAGCAGTGTGCCCGAGCTGACAGGGAGGAAGATGGTTTGTAGACAAAACAGTCCTCCTCCCCATCGGTGATTGTCGGTAATTACAGTGCCATACAAAGCAGTGTGCAGGAGCTGACAGGGGAGAGATCTGTATTGTTTATAGACAGGTCTCTCCCCCGTCAATAATACTCGGCGATCACCGGGTGCCGGTGGGGAATCATGATTGACAGCTGAGGCCGCGAATGGCGGCACGGGTAGGGTGCACACCCCCTACCCAGAAATACAAAATCATGTATATATACATGTGATTTTGTGCACCCCTGCTGCCCTGTAGCAGTATTTTTTGCTATAGGGCGGCACAAAAGTGGTTAATTGGTTTGTGTGAAAATTATAGTCTACAAACTATGGTGTATGTATATATATATATATATATATATATTTTTTATTTTTTTTGAAAATTGACCAATCCTGATGTACCAATGGCTGATCTAATTTTTCGAGGACCTAAACGGCCAGGACAGTACAAGACCCCCCCAAATGACCCAGGTAGACAGTCCGAGTAAGAGGCACGGTGAGTTGTAACTTTTTGTCACAATTACTTGAAAAATGAAGAAATTAAATACATTTTTCTTTTTCACAATTTATTTTCTGACATACAGTGCAGTACAGCATCATCATATAACTAATGTGGTGGTGATCAGGGACACTGCTACACAGCAGCCGAGCACTGTGATCTGCTGCGTTCATCACCGCGGTGTATGTCGCGGTTCTAAGGGAAGCTGCCCAGCAGCGGTAAATGTCTGTGGGTGGGCGGCAAGTGGTTAAATAATTGTCTCCTAACATTTAGCCATAAAAAACCTACATAGCCCAGAGAAAATGTGTGACCATTTCTTCTCTGTGACTTGGGGTAAAAAAAAAAAACAAATGTTATTAGGTGCTTTGCTCTGCTGTTTGAATGTTCTCCATCGATTTAAAATGTATATGTTGCATTTGGCCACTAGATGGAGCTAACTACTGTTACGCTGAAGGCCATCTAGTGGCCAAATGTGATATTTTCTGTAATAAATCAATGGCTAGTTTACTATTTCAACTGGGTCTTCTCATGAGTGCCTAAGTACGATCTCTCAGGTATTTTTTGCATGAAATCATGCCTGGCAGAGGAAAATAAGGGGTATATTTATAAAAAAAAAAAATGTGTTGGATGAATGTGACAAGCATTAGCAGTTAGAAAGAGGGGGAGATGGACTAAAATCGGAGCACTCAGAATCTGGTGCAGCTGTACCTGGTAGCCAATCAGCATCTACAGGTGAAACTCAAAAATTAGAATATGGTGAAAAAGTTCATTTATTTCAGTGCAGCAACTTAAAAGGTGAAACTAATATATGAGATAGACTCATTACATGCAAAGCAAGATAGTTCAAGCCGTGATTTGTCATCATTGTGATGATTATGGCTTACAGCTCATGACAACCCCAAATCCACAATCTCAGAAAATGAGAATATTGTGAAAAGGTGCAATATTCTCGGCTCAAAGTGTCCCACTCTAATCAGCTAATTCAGCCATAACACCTGCAAAGGGTTCCTGAGCCTTTAAATGGTCTCTCAGTCTGGTTCAGTAGGAATCACAATCATAGGAAAGACTGCTGATCTGACACCATCACTGACACCCTCCATAAGGAGGGAAAGCCTCAAAAGGGAATTGCAAAAGAAGTTGGATGTTCCCAAAGTGCTGTATCAAAGCACATTAATAGAAAGTTATGTGGAAGAAAAAGGTGGGATGACCGCAGCCTGGAGAGGATTGTCAGGAAAAGGCCATTCAAAGTGTTGGGGACTTTCACAAGGAGTGGACTGAGGCTGGAGTCAGTGCATCAAGAGCCACCACACACAGACGGATCCTGGACATGGGATTCAAATGTCGTATTCATCTTGTCAAGCCGCTCCTGAACAACAAACAACGTCAGAAGCGTCTTACCTGGGCTAAAGAAAAACAGACCTGGTCTGTTGCTCAGTGGTCCAAAGTCCTCTTTTCTGATGAGAGCAACTTTTGCATCTCATTTGGAAACCAAGGACCCAGAGTATGGAGGAAGAATGGAGAGGCCCAAGGACCCAGAGTATGGAGGAAGAATGGAGAGGCCCAAGGACCCCGAGTATGGAGGAAGAATGGAGAGGCCCAAGGACCCCGAGTATGGAGGAAGAATGGAGAGGCCCAAGGACCCCGAGTATGGAGGAAGAATGGAGAGGCCCAAGGACCCCGAGTATGGAGGAAGAATGGAGAGGCACAAGGACCACGAGTATGGAGGAAGAATGGAGAGGCACAAGGACCACGAGTATGGAGGAAGAATGGAGAGGCCCAAGGAGCCCGAGTATGGAGGAAGAATGGAGAGGCCCAAGGAGCCCGAGTATGGAGGAAGAATGGAGAGGCCCAAGGACCCCGAGTATGGAGGAAGAATGGAGAGGCCCAAGGAGCCCGAGTATGGAGGAAGAATGGAGAGGCCCAAGGACCCCGAGTATGGAGGAAGAATGGAGAGGCACAAGGACCCCGAGTATGGAGGAAGAATGGAGAGGCACAAGGACCCCGAGTATGGAGGAAGAATGGAGAGGCACAAGGACCCCGAGTATGGAGGAAGAATGGAGAGGCACAAGGACCCCGAGTATGGAGGAAGAATGGAGAGGCACACACTGCAAGATGCTTGAAGTCCAGTGTGAAGTTTCCACAGTCTGTGTTGATTTGGGGAGCCATGTCATCTGCTGGTGTTGGTCCACTGTGCTTCATTAAGTCCAGGGTCAACGCAGCCGTCTACCAGGAGATTTTGGAGCACTTCATGCTTCCTTCCACAGATGAGCTTTATGGGGATGCTGACTTCATTTTCCAGCAGGACTTGGCACCGCCCACACTGCCAAAAGCACCAAAACCTGGTTCAATGACCGTGGGATTACTGTGCTTGATTGGCCAGCAAACTCGCCTGACCTGAACCCCATAGAGAATCTATGGGGCATTGCCAAGAGAAAGATGAGAGACATGAGACCGAACAATGCAGAAGAGCTGAAGGCCGCTATTGAAGCATCCTGGTCTTCCATAACACCTCAGCAGTGCCACAGGGTGATAGCTTCCATGCCACGCCGCACTGAGGCAGTAATTGCTGCAAAAGGGGCCCAAACCAAGTAGTGAGTACATATGCATGCTTCTACTTTTCAGAGGTCTGATATTGTTCTATGTACAATCCTTGTTTTATTGATTGCATGGAATATTCTCATTTTCTGAGATTGTGGATTTGGGGTTTTCATGAGCTGTAAGCCATAATCATCACAATGATGACAAATCACGGCTTGAACTATCTTGCTTTGCATGGAATGAGTCTATCTCATATATTAGTTTCACCTTTTAAGTTGCTGCACTGAAATAAATGAACTTTTGCACCATATTCTCATTTTTCGAGTTTCACACTGTAACTTCAGCTCTTTCAATTAAGCTTTGGCAATAAAACCTGGAAACTGACTGGTTACTATGCAGAGCTGCACCAGATTTTGCACCATGCAGATTTAGTAAATAACCCCCAGTGATTTCCTTTGATTGTCAGCTCCATCTAGTGGCAATAATACAGTAAGTAATACTGCATTATAGCCACTAGATGGAGCTGACAAATATAAGAGATCAGTGTATGAAATGAAATATGGACAATATTCGTCATGGGTGGGGAATGCCGCTCACATTCAATGAACAACATTTTCAAAAATAGACCTCTAAGTGTTTATAAAATCTCCCACGCAAAATGTACTCAGCCAATGACAGGTGAAGACTCCATTTTTATTCTTCTCCTGCTATCAATGGCCAACCCGGTCCCACACTTCATCCATGTCTTTGGTGACCTCTGATCTCCTAATGTAATGTTTTTTCCATGATGAAGATCAGCCATGGAGTATATCTGAGGTGTATATCAGGGTGTGCTTCTTCCCCACATGAGAGCTGGGATGTCCAGCAACATTCATCTAGAAGACATTTCCCGCACTCAAGGCACTAATACACCTCCAGGGTTGTGTGGGACCCCTGATGTACAGGAAGACAGGAATTCAGTGAGGAACATTTCCTTCACTCAAGACAGGAAAGTGGCTTCTCCCCTGTGTGAGATCTCTGATGTCTGTTAAAGATTGGACCTCAATGAAAAACATTTCCCGCACTCGGGACAGGAATACGGCTTTTCCTCCGTGTGAGACCTCCGATGTCTGGAAAGATGCGATTTCCTTGAAAAGCATTTCTCGCACTCAGGACAGGAATACGGCCTCTCCCCTGTGTGAGATCTCAAATGCATGTTAAGATTGGATATAACTGAAAAACATTTCCCGCACTCAGGACAAGAATATGGCTTTTCCCCTGTGTGAGACCTCTGATGTATGACAAGTTGTGATTTTTGTACAAAACATTTCCCGCACTCAGAGCAGGAAAGTTGCTTTTCCCCCGTGTGAGATCTCTGATGTGTGTATAGATGAGACTTCACTGCAAAGCATTTTCCACACTCAGTACAGGAATACGGCTTCTCCCCTGTGTGCAATCTCTGATGGCTGTAAAAATGGGATTTCTGTGAAAACATTTCCCGCACTCAGGACAGGCATGTGGCTTTTCCCCCGTGTGAGATCTCTGATGTGTGACCAGCTCTGATTTTTGTGCAAAACATTTTCCACATTCTGGACAAGAATACGGCTTCTCTCCCGTGTGCAATCTCTGATGTTGGTAAAGATTTGACTTCTGTGAAAAACATTTCCCACAATTAGGACAGGAGTACGGCTTTTCCCCCGTGTGGGACCTTTGATGTGTGACAAGTAATGATTTATGTACAAAACATTTCCCACACACTGGACAGGAATGTAACTTCTCCCCTGTGTGAAATTTCTGATGTGTGTAAAGATTTCGATTTATCCAAAAAACATTTCCCGCACTCAAGGCAGGAATACGGTTTCTCACCTGTGTGCAATCGCAGATGTGTATAAAGCTTATATTTCTCTGAAAAACATTTCCCGCACTCAGAACAGGAATATGGCTTTTCACCCATGTGCAATCTCTGATGTCTTTTAAGACTGGATTTCAATAAAAAACATTTCCCGCAGTCAAGGCATGAATACGGTGACTCCCCTATGTGAGATCTCTGATGTGTGACAAGTTCTGATCTTTGCACAAAACTCTTCCCGCACTCAGTACAGGAGAAGCTCTTCCCTGTTGGAAGGCCGGCCCGGTCCCGCACAGTCTGAGGTTCCTCAGGATACGAGGAATCTGATGGTCCATCTACACTGGGTGGTGCCGGATGGACATTGGAGGGAGCCGGGTTTTCTCCTGGACTATACTGTGTGATGTCCTCATCTTCTACTTTCCAGTCTGGAGACAAAGTGAGACAATCCTCGGAGGTTTTCCTCATCTCCCGGCCATGGACTAAAATACAAAGACAAAGAGGATTACTAGACAGGAGCTGATTGGTTCCCCCAAACCAGGACTCCGCCCACATCAGGCAGCTTGGTCTCTGAGGAGCTTACAATTCCACCCTCAAGGGAACTAGGAAATGGCTCCTCTGATCTCCTACCAGGTCATTTCTTTATTCAAGGACCTTAGTCAGAGAGTGAGGAAACAACCAGAACTGTCTTTTATAGGAGGGACAGTGATGAGGGGATTATAGGACGAGGGTCCCCACCCCCTCTATCACTCATCACCATCTTCCCAACACAAGAAGTACTGCACTTCCTTATTTAGTCCATGATTTAGTCATGAAGAACAGCGGGGCTGAGCCCCACCAGAGGTCAGAGAGTGAGGATGGGGGGAGAACAACCAAGATGAAGACTGGACTGATCCTGAAGACCACCATCATTGGGGTATTGACTCCTCCCTTTCTGGTTCAAAATGTATGAACTTGTTTGCATTGCATTATTATCAAAATGTAAACATGTATGCAGACATATCCCTCCACCCAGCACAGCCAGCAAACACCAGAGTATGTAACCCTGGGAGAATTACTGTTAGAGATTTTGCTAGACCCAGGCATGGGGCAGACGACCCAAGACACATGTCCCAGTAGAGCAACACCTATGCTGAAAATCCACATTTTGCTTCCAGCTGAACCCCAGAACCTCCATAAATCCAGTCTAGATACATAAATTGTGTCTGCAGCACAGAGAAGGAAGATTATCCGAGAGAAATCCAGGAATACAGGACGGGGAACACAGCTCAGGAAAGTGACCAGGGGATTACAGGCTGATATCACCCAGTCCCCGCCCTACTCTGGACCAATCAGTGAGCAGTATGGGTGGAGGAAAGGATTTAGTGTTCATGACCCACCTGTGCTGATCTCTGTAGGAGTGTCCTCCTCTATAAATGTCCCCGTTATTCCATCCTCCTCCATAGACTGCTGATCATCCCTCACATACGCCTCTTCTTCTGCTTTCACCTCAAACTTTTATATCTATCAGATCTTCACCCTAAAACCAAGAGAATGGTAGAAATATAATCTGTAAAATATGAGCTTTAATATTGAAACATCAAATAAAAGAAAAAAATCTCTCACTGTCTCCACAATTCCATATACCAGATGTTCTATCCCACCAACCTTGTAACAGTGAGGGATGGTGTGACCTTCCTGTGTGGAATCCCAGGAATACAGAGGACGGGGACATCTCTCTGGTGGGTTCCTGGTATTAGGTGGCTCCATCATATCCTTGTGTCCTTCTGAAAACTCCTCCATCACTCCATACTCCTCATCCTCCTCTTTATACTCTTCTACGACAACAATATTATCATCCCCGAGGATTCCACTCTGAATTTATAATAAACATTCATTGTAACAAACAAACTTGTGTATAAATCATAAATTCCAGTAATTGTTCTCTATCTACCTGATGATGATGAGGGATAGTGTGACCTTCCTGTGTGGAATCCCGGGAATACAGAGGACGGGGACATCTCTCTGGTGCGTTCCTGTAGCTGGATGACTCCACCATGGTGTCCTGGTACAGATCTTTGTGTTCTTTTAGAAGCTCTGACTCCTTCATCCCCCCATCCTCGTCATCCTCCTCTTTTATCTCTTCTTTAATATCAACTTTAGGATCTCTCAGGTTTCCACTCTGAATATATAATAAAAATAACATCAATTGTAACAATTCAGATAATGTACAGATCCTAATGATACTATCAGTGATTGTTCCTCATCTACCTGATGATGGTGAGGGATGGTGTGACCTTCCTGTGTGGAATCCCGGGAATACAGAGGACGGGGACATCTCTCTGGTGGGTTCCCATGACTGGATCCATCTGTAGGAAACACACACACTGACTGAATCCATTGTTTCTATGTGTTTATCAGATGATGGGGGATCTAGGTGGATCCTCCGTACTGCTCTCTCCTTTACAATAAAGTCTCCTCTTACCCGGTGATGTGAGGGGCGGCTGATTGTCCATCATGACGTCCTTGTAGAGATCCTTGTGTCCTTCTAAATACTCCCACTCCTCCATGGAGAAATAGACAGTGACACCCTGACACCTTATAGGAACCTGACACACACAATGATACAGTCACCATTCAACCTGACACTATACCTCCCTAGCCTGCCACTATACTTTCCCAACCTGACATTATATTGGCCTAATATGACATTACACTGACCGACCACTTTATTAGGTCTACCTGTTCAATTGCTCGGTAACACAAATTGCTAATCATCTAAACACGTGGCAGCAACTCAATGCATTTAGGCATCTAGACATAGGGAAGACGACTTGCTGAAGTTCAAACTGAGCATCAAAATGGGGAAGAAAGGGGATCGAAGTAACTTTGAACGTGTTGGTGCCAGATGGGCTGGTGTGAGCATTTAAAAAACTGCTGATCCACTGGGATTTTCACACACAACCATCTCTAGGGTTTATAGAGAATGGTCCGAAAAAGAGAAAATATCCTGTGAGCGGAAGTTGTGTGGAGGAAAATGCCTTGTTGATGTCAGAGGAGAATGGGCAGACTGTTTGCTGCGACATTCAGATGGTAGGGTCAGAATTTGGTGCAAACAACGTGAAAGCATGGATCCATCCTGCCTTGTATCAATGGTTTCAGGCTGCTGGTGGTGGTGTAATGGTGTGGGGGAGACAGCCCTGCCTGTCATGCTGCTCATTGATCACCCTGCTCACTGACAGCTCTTCCACTACATACTGCTCACTGGCAGCCCTGCCACTACATACTGCTAACTGGCAGCCCTGCCACTACATACTGCTCACTTACAGCCCTTTTACTACATACTGCTCACTGGCAGCCCTTCTACTACATACGGCTCACTTACAGCCCTTTTACTACATACTGCTCACTGACCGCCCTGCCACTATGTACTGCTCACTGACCGCCCTGCCACTACATACTGCTCACTGACCGCCCTTCTACTACATACTGCTCACTGACAGCCCTTCTACTACATACTGCTCACTGATCGCCCTGCCACTATGTACTGCTCACTGACCGCCCTGCCACTACGTACTGCTCACTGACCGCCCTGCCACTACATACTGCTCACTGACCGCCCTGCCACTACATACTGCTCACTGACAGCCCTTCTACTACATACTGCTCACTGACCGCCCTGCCACTATGTACTGCTCACTGACCGCCCTGCCACTACATACTGCTCACTGACCGCCCTTCTACTACATACTGCTCACTGACAGCCCTTCTACTACATACTGCTCACTGATCGCCCTGCCACTATGTACTGCTCACTGACCGCCCTGCCACTACGTACTGCTCACTGACCGCCCTGCCACTACATACTGCTCACTGACCGCCCTGCCACTACATACTGCTCACTGACAGCCCTTCTACTACATACTGCTCACTGACCACCCTGCCACTACGTACTGCTCACTGACCACCCTGCCACTACGTACTGCTCACTGACCACCCTGCCACTACATACTGCTCACTGACCGCCCTGCCACTACATACTGCTCACTGACTGCTCTATTACTACGTGCTGCTCATTGATCGCCCTGCCACTACATCCTGCTCACTGACCGCCCTGCCACTACATCCTGCTCACTGACCACCCTGCCACTACATAGTGCTCACTGACCACCCTGCCACTACATACTGCTCACTGACCACCCTGCCACTACATACTGCACTCTGACTGACCTGCCACTACGTACTGCTCACTTACTGTCTTGCACTTTCCTACTGTTAAATACCATACACTCCATAGCTCTTCCCTGCCATTTTGTCACTGTCCTGCACTGCATTCTGCTCACTGCACATTTCTATGTACTGCTCTGCACTGACACTACAGTTACATCAAACAAATTAATTCAGATGGCCCTCTCAGGTTAGGCTGTACAGGATCCCCTAATTTATAAAGGCAGCTCTGCCAATACGCCCTCCACTTCCAGCGCTCTCCCGAGGCCAGAATAAAGGATTCAAGTGAGGAGGAAATTAAGCTGTTCTGCCTCCAATGTGTGTCCCAACCTTATCCACTTCTTAAGTGAGTCCCAAACTGCTCCACCTCCTGAGTCCCAACCTGCTCCACCTCCTAAGTGAGTCCTAACCTGCTCCACCTCCTAAGTGAGTCCTAACCTGCTCCACCTCCTAAGTGAGTCCTAACCTGCTCCACCTCCTAAGTGAGTCCTAACCTGCTCCACCTCCTAAGTGAGTCCTAACCTGCTCCACCTCCTAAGTGAGTCCCAACCTGCTCCACCTCCTAAGTGAGTCCCAACCCTGCTCCACCTCCTAAGTGAGTCCCAACCTGCTCCACCTCCTAAGTGAGTCCCAACCTGCTCCACCTCCTAAGTGAGTCCCAACCTGCTCCACCTCCTAAGTGAGTCCCAACCTGCTCCACCTCCTAAGTGAGTCCCAACCTGCTCCACCTCCTAAGTGAGTCCCAACCTGCTCCACCTCCTAAGTGAGTCCCAACCTGCTCCACCTCCTAAGTGAGTCCCAACCTGCTCCAGCTCCCTAAGTGAGTCCCAAACTGCTCCACATCCTAAGTGAGTCCCAACCTGCTCCACCTCCTAAGTGAGTCCCAACCTGCTCCACCACCTCCTAAGTGAGTCCCAACCTGCTCCAGCTCCTAAGTGAGTCCCAACCTGCTCCACCTCCTAAGTGAGTCCCAACCTGCTCCAGCTCCTAAGTGAGTCCCAAACTGCTCCACCTCCTAAGTGAGTCCCAACCTGCTCCAGC